GGTATATAGTACTCTGCTCCAGTTGAGATATTTTGAACTACAATTCCCATCCTCCCCATCCAAAAGTCTAAATCGAGTCTTCCCTGATAGTCTTAAGGTAGGGGAAAATTCTAAACTTGTTCCAAACTTGTGTTGTTCTTGGCTTGAAAGGAGCAAGCCCAAAAAAGGACATTGGTTTCAGTTTAGATCTGGCCTGGTGGCTAAGGAGACCCACTTCTTACCATGGGCAATATGTGCAAGACACCATGGATTCCTCCACCACATTTTCTGATGTGCAGGGTGCATAAAACCAGGTATGGCATGCAAGGCTGCGTTTACATGCCACCGTAACCCGAAAGAGAGTTGGATATTTTCTAATTATATATTTGGTTTTGTCCCTTGGAATGCCAGTTATATCCGACTGCAACATTGTTCCAGCAGAGAGAAAGTTATTGCAGTTTTAATGTAAAACAAGCATTTTTTTTTAAAAAAAGTATACACTGCACCTTTAAAGATACAGCTGCTAGGCTTGGTCAGCTGTTTCAGGAATATGTAGCTGAAGGGCACCTTACATGCATACAGCATTAGTCATCCTAGAGGACTGATACACCCAGCTCCTAATTAAACAGGCAAGGTTTCATGGCAGTGTCTCATCCTGGTGCTTCAAAGCAGCCTACTGGTTGTGGCCTGGGACCGATCCATACAGAACCCGACAGCTCTTTTTAAAATAAGGCAAACACTCCCTACTCCCCACCTTTGCATTTTAATCTGGACTTTAGAGTAAGAGGTGGTTCCTATCTTCCTTGATTCACTCTCCTTATCAGAAACGAAGTGGATTTAAGGATTAGAAGGCCTCACATGACCACAATTTCTGGCTGGCAAGATAGATTCAGAAGGTTGAGATTCAGATATTTTAAAAAGCAAAGGAGTAACCCAACCCTGGAAGCTAGGAGTGACCTCTTGGGAAAACCAGGAAAGCTAAAACTTTCCAGTTCACTTCTTTTAATTTAGTTTAAGTATTTATTATATCCCATCTTTATTATTTTTATAAATAACTCAAGGCGGTGCACATACCTAATATTCCTTCACCCTATTTTGCCCACAACGGCAACCCTATGAATTGAGTTGGGGTGAGAGAGAGAGAGAGTGACTGACCCAAAGTCACCCTAGGTCAGTGGTTCTCAACCTTCCTAATGCCACGACCCTTTAATACAGTTCCTCATGTTGTGACCCCCAACCATAAAATTATTTTCGTTGCTACTTCATAACTGTAATTTAGCAATTTTCCATTGGTCTTAGGTGATCCCTGTGAAAGGGTCGTTCGACCCCCAAAGGGGTCCCGACCCACAGGTTGAGAACCGCTGCCCTAGGTCTATTTCATACCTAAAGTAGGACTAGAACAGTGATGGCAAGCCTTTTAGACATCGAGTGGCGCAGCAGAGACCTGAAGACGGGAGACCCGAGGGGGGGAGGCATCCCAACACCGGTTCCACCACAAAACCGCGCCCGACTAAACCGCGCCCGACTAAACCGCGTCGCTGACGTCATCAACAGGGCGACAACAGTGCGGAGACAAGCACGCTGTAAACCCTAAACCTAAAATTAACCCCTAAATCTAAATCTAACCCCCTAAACCTAATCCTAACCCTAAACCTAACCCTAAACCTAAACATAACCCTAAACCTAACCCTAAACCTAACCCTAACACTTAACCTAACCCTAAACCTAACCCTAAACCTAACCCTTACCTTAAGTTGAATTGGCTTGGCTTCACAGAGCTGTTTAAAG